TTCAATTAATTTTCTATCCATCAGATTAAGTGTCTTTAGAAATCATTTGAAACGTTTATGAACCATTGACTCAGGTTTCACATATCACATGACACATTTCATTACTCACTTCATCAACTACATTTCTTGCTCGAGTAATAAGAAAATTATCACTATTGATGGTTCTCATGGAGATATACCTTTATCTCCCTTTCTTATTCTAAAAAATGTGCTCCACATATCTCAATTATCCACAAATATAATCTCCATACAAAAAACTTGCAGTGACCATAATTGCGAAGTCCTATTTAACCATACTTGTTTATTTCAAGACTAGGGATCATAGAAGAAGATTTGACTCTCTATGGAGAAAGATGGACTGTCCAACCTGGAAGAGCTGAATAAATTCACTATTATCAATAATAGCTATTCTATATTATCCCAATTTAATAAAAATTTTATTATTTGGTAGCATCATTTTAAATTAGGACATCCATATTTTGATGTCTTAAAAAACATCTGAAACTTTTTTATTAGTTGAAAAAAGAATGATTTTATTGTGAAACCTGTGAGTTACTCATGCATAAACGAGTTTTTTTCAAGCAAAAATGAGAGATGTCATACTCCCTTCTATTTTATTCATAGTGATATCTGGAGACCCTAAAAAATCCTTAACATTTCAGGGGCTCGATGATTTGTATTCTTCATTGACTAGTGCACTTGAATCTTTTGCATATTTCTCCCCAATAATAAATCCGATGTTAGCACTATCCTCCCCATTTTTCACACTATGATCCAAAATCAATTCGGGGTGAAAATAAGGAAATTTCATTCCGACAATGCCAAAGATTATTTCAACCAAATTCTATCTCCTATTTTAAAAATGAAGGTATCATTCATGAGTCTTTTTGCATTTACACCCCACAAAAAAGGGAGTTGCAGAAAAAAAATGGCAACTTTCTTGCTTATACACGTGCACTTCTGTTCCACCACAAAGCACCCAAATCCTATTGGGGGGAAGCCCTTCTAACTGCCACATATGACATAAACTGATTACCTTCAAAAACCTTGGGATTAAAAATATCAATTGATATTCTGTCATCTTTTTACCCTAAATTCCAAACCCATAACAATCTCACACCTAGATTTTTTGGGTGCACTATATATACTCATAGTCACAGCCAAAACTGAGGAAAGTTAGATTTAAGAGCACTCAAATGTATCTTTGTTAGATATTCATCTATCCAGAGTTGTTATAAGTGTTATCACCCCTCTTGTTGAAAATCATTGTATCTGTTGACGTCACTTTTTGACAAAAAAAATTTTATTTCACAAAATCTCATCTTCAGAGGGAGATTGAAACTTAGGAAGATGAGGAAATTTAGGTTGCTCCCCTTGACCTTCAAGATCCACCTCAAATTGATCCACCTATTCTTAAAACCAAAGCTAGGAAAATTTAGGACAAAGTTATTATGGATAACATATGGTTTGAAAAAGTATTTTCTAGACATACAAATACAAACTATGGTACCGAGCAAATCCAAGAATCTGAATTGTCTCCAAAAATTGAGGTAAACACAAGTTCACCAAAAAACCTTCCATGTACTCCATAAATAACTTTGTATTCTTCTATATTTTCTCACCTTCACACATCACGCTAAATGATATTCATATTCTTAATAATATTTATGAGGCCTTATTTAATGAGAATTGAAGAAGTCCCATGAAAGATTAAATGCATGCCATAGAGAAGAATAAGACCAAGGAGATCACTGACCAACTAGTAGATAAAAGACTAGTCGTCTACAGATGGGTATTATCTATGAAATACAAAGCCGATTGTACACTAGTAAGGTATAAGGCAAGATTGATAGCGAAATGGTACACTCAGAAGTATAACATTGACTATCAGAAAACTTCTGTACTTGTGGCCAAGATGAACACTATTAGGATCCTGTTCTCCCTAACATCTAATTATAATTGGTATCTAGAACAACTGGATGCTGAAAATTCCTATAAGGGGACTGGAGGAAGAAATATTTATGGAAGTTTCATAAGGATTCAAGGAGAATTCTGGGGGTGACAATGTGTATAGGTTAAATAAGGCTCTATAGGGGCTAATACAGTTACCTAGAGCTTAATTTGAAAGATTCTCAAAGGTCATGCTACTCAATGTATATCGAGAGAGCCAAGGGAACCTCACATTATTCTTCAGGCACTCAGACTTAAGGGAAGTCACAGTTTTATTAGTTTATGTGAATGATATCATCTTGTCTAGGAATGATGAAAAGAGAAAATGATTATAAGAAAATGTCTTGCTAAGAAATTTGAGATCAAAGAATTTTTTAGATTGAAATATTTCCTAGGAATTGAAGTGGCCCACTCTTGCAGAGAATCTTCATTTTTCAACAAAAACACATTACTGATCTTATTAAATAAATATATAAACTAGCTTGTAAATCAGTATTAACACCAGTAGAACCAAATCTCAAATTGGGGGAAGCTTAAGAGGATCCATACATAGATAATAGAGCTTACTAGAGGATTTTGGGGAAATTGTTCTACTTTTTTCACACCAAACTAGATATAGTCTTTGCTATAAGCATGTTTAGTCAGTTCATACAGAATCCAAAGTAAACTCACATTACAAGCAGTAGATTGAATACTACACTACCTCAATGAAAATTCAGGGAAGGGGATTCTCTTTAGAAGAGGAAAAATTATTTTCTGCGAAGTCCGGAGGGGTAGACTATCTGGATTATTGCATATTTAATGAGTATTTGCTAAGTATTTGTAAATGCTCAGCAAATACTCAATAAATATGCAGTAAATTAGCAAATACTTATAAAATATCACGTTGTAAATGGATAACTTTACCTTTTTTGGACTAATTATCACGATTTAAATGACATATTTGTATTCCCTAGCTGGAGGGGGAGTGTTAAATCCCAGTCGTCCCTTAGTCTTTGATCCCATGGCTAACTTGGGTTACGTGGGAGGCTCACCTAGATCACGTTTATCTACTTCCTTATTTGGGTGGCTGATTTATGAAGGATTATATTAGGACAATTATATAATATTTTATAATTATTTGTTTCCTTTTTAAGATATCTTATATGGATCTATAAATAGGGATAATTTTGTGTAATAAAATTAAGCATTTTCCCTCTCCAATTCTCTGACAGTAGCTAAATTGAATGCTATAAAAATCTTACTATCTATTAATTGAATTTTCGCTACTACAACTTGATATCACAAATGCAATCTAAAAATAGAAACTTAAAAGAATATGTTTATATGTATTCTTTTTGGATTCGAACAAAATTTGGCTAAAAGGTATGTTATTTAAAGAAGTCATTATATGACCTTTAACAATCTTTAAGGATGCGATTTGAGAAATTTATCTGGTTAGTAAAACATCAAGGATATAACCCAACCCAAATTGATCATATAATATTCATGTAACAATTAAGAGAAGGAAAAACATGATCTTCATAGGTGATAATGTGGATGAAATAGACCTACTAAAGAAGAATCTTGTTGCAAAATTTGAATCAAGGAATTTGAAAGATATCAAATATTTTTTGGAGATTGGAAGTTCAAAGAGTAGCATATGGTTTCTCAAAGGAGGTATATTCCAGATCTTCTGAATGAAATTAGAATGAGCAGATGTAGACTTGTTAACACTCCAAATGGGTCAAAAATATATCTTATAGAAGACGAGGATGAACCGATGAACTTATTGATATCACTTGGTATCAAATTCTATAGGGAAAATTAATTTATTTATGCAACTCATGTCTTGACTTAACCTTTATTGTAAGCTTAGTAAGTCAATTTATTTTGATATATTTGAAAATTTGTCTTCGAAAGGGACTACTTAAAAAAAAAACAGTCAACATAATAATGATGCCTATTTTGATGCATATTGGGGAGGTTATATTATTGACATAACTATCACAATAGGTTCAACCCATGTATGGGGTGTCACATGCTGGAGCAAAAGACAAATACGGTAGTTTGGAGTAGTGTTGAAGCTCAATATAGTCATGACCAATTTGATTTGTGAACTACGATGATTACAATGGGTTTTGGTTAAACTATACCAAACTATAGATTTTTTTTATGAAACAATATTGTGAAACCTATGGAACCAAACTTGTTGAGGTTGATCTCCACTTGGAAAGGGAAAGGCATGAAGCAAGAATTATCCGCACATTTCTAATTCTCAAAAAGCATAAATCCTTACAAAAGGATTGCTCAAATCTAATTTTTTATTATTACATTGAGATTGAATGTTATCTACCATCAAACTTGAAGGGGAGTGTGGAAAGGATGAATGGGATCTAAGGAGGCATTCATTGAATTTTAAGGAAAAAGGAAAGAGATCATCGTATAGGGATGGTTTCTCCAGTAGGAAATGAATGAATGACTGTCAAAATCAATCGAATGACCCCTTTTTTATTTGAATTTTTAATTTTTATATAGATTTGTTTTGGCTAGTTATGATTGAAATTTGATGTGTAAGGATATTAAGTATCTTATCTTATAAATATTGTACTACTCTTATTGATTAATATTAAGCCCATAAAACATATTTCATTTCAAACTTTCACTCAACAACTAGCTTTTGGTGTCAAAAGAAGAGCAAATCTTGCGTAGAATAAGTGGATTGCAGTGGCAAGTGGAGGAAGAAGATCAAAGTGGTTAGGTGAGGAAGAATACTAAAACTATGAGAGGAAAAAGAAGGCCGCATCTAGTCGTGAAGAATAGGGAAGGGAAATGGTGAAAAAGCTAAATCCCATAAATTGTAGTGATAGAAGGATTAAGTTAATCCTGCCAAATTGAGAACAAAAATGACAAACTCCTGGATTTTGCACCCACAAAAAACTGTTTTGCGGGAGATGAGTTAAATCCTTGCAAAACCATGCTTTAAATCTCATGCCAAATAACATTTAAAGTTTTCTTCTCTTTATTTATACTTGTTTTTTGTAGTGATCGTTTGATAACTTTAACTGCAGGACATGAGGTTGACGAAGCTAGATTTTTTAAGAAAGTGTAAGGTTGCTCTTCAGGTTGACAATTTCCAGAAAAATCGTTATACTGACGTGATTCCATGTAATCCACCCAATAACTCTTTTTCCTTCATGTTCATCCAAATGGCAAAGAATGTGATTTGGTGTCATTAACAACGTAAATAACATTCTCTATGAGGATTTATGAAATTATCTTTTAATTTGTCTTTCAGATGACAGTTCAAGGGTTGTGCTTAATTCAACTGAAGAGGGTGGACATTTCAATGGTGACTATATAAATGCGAGCTTTATTACGGTGTGTTCATACTTCACCCTTTTAGTTTTTAAGCTAAAACATATTGTAAGCTGTCATAATATTCCTGGGTCATAGGCTGGTTTTTCGGAACACCTCTCAAGGTTTATTGCTACTCAAGGTCCACTTCCAGATACCTTTGAGGACTTTTGGGAGATGGTAATGCAATACCGTTGCCCAGCTATTGTGATGCTTACTGCAGTTGATAATCCAAAGGTACTTAATTATGAAAACTTCTGGTACAAAGTCATCCTTTTTAAGAATGCACATTGTTGATGAAAGAGTTGATGACTTTGTCGACGTAGAATACATTTTAACCTTTCGTCTTTGTGGTTTCTTAGAATACATTGAGGTAAATATATTTTGATGGTATCATTTTGTCTATTAGAATAATTTCAATGTTGCTAGCTTCCATAACTAAGTTTTTGACATTCAAAAGAATTTTAGCGTTTAAATTCCAATGTTCTTTTGTTTGTTAACCCTTAGCAACTTGACAATTCATTGGCCATGTTACCAAATCTACAGTTATTTTTTTCGGTCAATATTTATTATACTTCTTTAGTACAAGAAATTATAATATGCTTTTGTCGTTCATGTTTCGTGATAAAGTTTATTTGTGTTCCCATGCATTCATCAGGCAATGTTCCATGCATTCATCAGGCAATGAATGAGAAGCTATATTTTCTCCTTTTTTATTTATTTTTATTTTTTTATTATTAGTTTTTTATTTTTATGTTTTTATATATTTTTTCCTTGATCTCACGCTTTGTTTCATCCTGTCTTCAAGATTCATTTAAACTTTCACAACAGAAAGCAACCTCCTCTTTTCAGATTGAATTTGTGAGGGCCTCTTTCTTTCTTAATCTATATTTAATTATCTTATTCTTAGTCTTTCATTTCTTTCTAATATATAAATTTGACTTGATAAGAGATCTCAATGTAAAAGTGCTGTGCATTGGACTTTATTGAGCAATTATAGTTGGTTATGGACGTTATTGGTGATTTTGGAAATTAAGGTTCAAGGTATTATGATGCTCAAATGTGAATGTTCATCACTCACTATTATTTTTAAATTAGTAAATTATAGTAGGGGTTTGTTATACTACTTGGAGCTTCCAAGCCATGTGTAGAAATATCTGAAAATGCAAATTGATTGTAGTCTACTATATGCTTGACGTTAAATCGTTTTTTTTCTTACTTTTCTAAATTGAAGTGAATCCAGAAATCTAGGTTATTGTCAGATTCATCTAAGGGTAGAAGGTCCTGACTGGGCTGTATTTGATGGCGGAAAGGAGAAATTGAATTAGCTGTTTTGTTTGATAATAATGGAACTCTGTTGGATGAAAATTCTCTAGCTAGTTTTCATGCCTCAAAAAACCAGCTTTTAGCACGGATTTTTGAAACCAACTTCCCAGTCAAAAATTTCATAGCATGCTTTATGAAAAGGCTCAACAAAATGTGTCCTATGTGATAGCAGACAAATCACTAATAATCCACTATATGCATGAGATTAGATCAATGTTTTTCTTTGGGGAAATTATAGATACCCACTTAAAACTTGACTATTTACGAAATTAACACCTAGCCCTAAATATTACCTATCAAACCTTTGCATTTGAATGTGACACAGGAATGTGCCACAGCTAACTCATTATGAATTTAAAGAAATAAACAAATATGAGTTGGTGCTTTGTTATTATTCTCTTCAAAACTTTGGTGATCGGATTTACAAGTTGACTTAGTTAGCTGTTAGTTTTGTAGATGGTGGAAAAGAGAAATTGAATTAGATTTTTTTTGTTTGATAATAATGGAACTCTGTTGGATGAAAATTCTCTAGTTAGTTTTCATGCCTCCAAAAACCAGCTTTTAGCACGGATTTTTGAAACCAACTTCCCAGTCAAAAATTTCATAGCGTGCTTTATGAAAAGGTGAAGCTCTGTGCCCTATGTGATAGCGCACACAAATCACTAATAATCCACTATATGCATTAGATTTGATTAATGTTTTTCTTTGGGAAATTATAGATACCCACTTAAAACTTGACTATTTATGAAATTAACCCCTAGCCCTAAATATGACCTATCAAACCATTGCATTTGAATGTGACACAGGAATGTGTCACAGCTAACTCATTATGAATTTAAAAAAATAAAAAAATATGAGTTGATGCTTTGTTATGCTCTTCAAAAAAACATTTGTGATCGGATTTGCAAGCCGACTTTGTTAGCTGTTAGTTTTGTAAATGGTCAAGTTGAGGGATATGCAGGAAATTGCCCCTTTTTTCTTAAGAAAGTGAATTAATAATGTCATATTCTTCTCCCTGGGTGTAAAAGCTTTTCATTAGGAAATTTTGGATGTTGGAAAGTGAAATCGAATTATGATTTATTGTTGTTTTGGTTGTTTTGATATTAACATTGCAATACCTTTGAATTTTATTTTATTTTATTTTATTTTTATGAATTGGATATTAGCTTTTAGATATTTTATTTGGAAAAATAACAATATATATCAGAGGCTTCATTTTTTCAATTTGGAATTGCTATGCGAGTAGTATTGTGATATGTTTGATGTCCTTTCTTTGCTTCAGTAGTCCCGAGAAACATAATTGAACATTTCCCTGTGCATGCAGAATCCGTATATTTGTTGATAATTGATTTAAATTTTTTATTTTGTATTTTATTTTTATAGGTGCTAGTATCAATGAAGAATTTGTTTCAATGTGCCTTTAATACTGGCTTTTAATATTATTCTCCTACCATATTTCACAGATGATGAAAAAGTGTGCTGATTATTTTCAAGTAGAGAATGGAACCCGAGAGTTTGGAAAGATTAGTTTGTGCAACAAATGGGAAAGAATAACTGACTCTTCATTAGTTCTTCGTTGCTTGGAGGTGAAGAAGAAAGAGGTAAAGAGACCTTATTTTGCAAGATTTTAGGACAGCTTCTTTTGTGCGATGTGAAGGTGTTTTGTGTCATATCACTTTGTGTTGATTTCATTTTTACCTGGATATTTTCCGCCTAAAGGTCAGAAAATGTGATTTTATGTCAATGCCCTCATGGGTGCTATTAGGAATGCACATCGGTGTGGCAACATAACCATCCCCCAATGGAAACATCCATTTACCAGATCATATAAATGCGAAATTTAATGAAAAGTGGTTTTTTTCACTGCTGCTTTCCACCCTTGCATTTTTCATTTGAAATATGCAACTACGGCTGCTTTGGCTGTGGAAAATAATAACACCTTTGTAATTTTGCTGCTGATGCTCCAAAATGCTCACTTTAGCATAGAGCGTAGAGTATGTTGATTTTGTGCATAATCATTAAATTCAATATATAACATATAGTACAGTGGGTTTCTGCAAAAGTAAACATAAGTCTGTCTTGAAGGCACCGGATTAAATTTGTCATTCATGCTTCTCCATTGTATCACGCTTCTCCAGACCTTAATGCAGAACATGATTACAATTATTAAGGGAAACATAGTCTGTGAGGATGCTATAAAACAGAAGTCATACCAATTCTGCCATGCCGTTTTATGGTTATGGTAACACCAGTCATGAATGAAAACATACCTCACACAAATATGTGGTGTTTAATGAAAATGCTTCCCCACATTACCAAGCTGGAAATATTTCGACTTATTCTTAATTTAATGGACTGTTTTATAATGACAGATGTTGAAGTGGCATTGTTGAACTGGTTGTATACTCAAGCATTGATTAATTTTAAGCATCTTACCGCTTTGCCTTTATAACATCATGCTTAATTTTGATTTATTTTCGTAAGTATGGCTAACATTTCAATCTTGTCCCTCTTTCTTACAGTCTCAAGAATCTTCCATGAATGTTCTGCATATTCATTACCCTGATTGGCCTGATCATGGAGTACCTCAAGATACTGTCATTGTTAGAGAAATTCTGAAGATCACATATAATATTTCGGCTAATCTTGGGCCAATCGTTGTGCATTGCAGGTTTAAGTCTTATAGTTATTAAATTAATGTAGTTTTAATATACACTCAAACTCTGATCGAATTTATGTGGACTTAAATTTTTAATTCGTATTTTGTTACAGATATTGGACTTATTTTATATTTTGTAGATTTTCATTATTTTCTTAGTGCTATTCTAATTATTGTTATTAATTTTGATATAGTTTATTAGTATTTGCTATCTTTTTCAAATATAAATTTAAAATTTTTTAGTCATGTATGACAGTTTATGGCATAAATAAAATTCTTGTTATGGATGTTGAAACTGTTCTATTCCTTTTTATACCCGTTGTCATCATTTTTATTGTATTTTAAGATCATCCTGCATCTGCTACCCTCTGATAAATTGATCACTGTTATTAATAAGTCTCTAACTTGCTCAGTGCAGGCATTGGTCGAACTGGTACATATTGTGCAATTCATAACACCATCCAAAGAATTCTCATTGGTGATATGTCTTCTTTAGATCTTGCTAAAACTGTTGCTGATTTTAGATCACAGCGGATGGGGATGGTTCAGACAGTGGTAGGCAACATCTTTGATTTCAAATAATGTTAGCAATTTATTTTGCTTTTGTTTTTGGCAGATCATTTATTAAGTGATTGTTACAAATAATAAAAAAATCACGGCACTTTTCCTTGGTGCAACTAATAATCATTTTACTCCACTATTAATTATTAGGCTTTGTTTAATTTGGCAGCATTTACTCGTTTAGAATGAAGCTACCAGAGTCTCTGATTAAGTTATCTTTTACAAATTCAGATTACTTTTATAGATCAAGTGTTGTGATATTAAAACTCCGCGATTGTTTTTCAATTGCCTATATACTCCTTTACTAGGATAGCATATGATTGGGCTGCAGCAATATTTTTAATGGCTATCTGATCTTGAATTAACTAGTTTTTCTAAGAATTTGTTGTTGGCAGTATGGCCTAACTTTTTTTTTTTCAATGATTTTCAGGAGCAATTCTACTTTTGCTATGTTGCAGTTGTGGATGAGTTGGAGGCACTTGTTTCTAAATCCTGCTACTAGATTAATTGAAGGTAGCTATAATGATATTTTTGAATGCTTATATCTACAAAGGTAGTTTTGTGAATAAGGTATAATTATGTATTCTATTGAAGCAGAGCCCAGGTGGCGATTGGATGCTTGTAGCCTCTCTCTAACCCTACATTTCCACTTATAGTGTATTTTTCTACTTCAGTTGGATTACATCAAGGATTAATTTTAAGTCCATATCTTTTTTGCTTTAGTTATAGATGATTTTACGAGACATTTGCAAGAGAATGTACTTTGGTGTATGTTTTTTGCTGATGATATTCTTCTAGTTGATAAGACTAGTGAGGGAATTGATGAAAAACTTGAATTATGGAGTTCGAACTTAGACTTTAAAGGTTTCTATTTGAGTAGATCTAAAATCAAATACATGGAGTGCAATTTTAATAGTAATATATCTAGTGGTGGGATTGTGATATTTGGTGATCAAGTCATTAAAAGAGTGAATATTTTAGAGATCTCGGGTCTATTGTTCAAGGTGATGGTGAAATAGATGGGATATTATTAGTATAATTTAAGTTGGATGGTTGAAGTGGAGTAATGCATCGAGCCTGTGGCATAATAGAAAAGTAACCCTCAAACTTGAGGGAAAATTTTATAAGATGATGATGAGACATTCAATGCTTTATGGCGTAGAATGTTGATCATTAAAAGAGAACCATAAAATTAAATCAGGAGTTGTAGAGAGGAGGATGCTTAGGTGGATGAGTGGCTTTACACTTAGAGAAAGAATGCAAAATGAATATATACGTGAAAATGGTGGAGTAGCTCCTGTGGGAAATGAGATTAGAGAGTTTTTTAGATGGTTTGGTCATATAAAATGTCGGCCTTCTAATAATCTTGTTTGGAGAATATATGTATTAGATTCAGCTTATGTTAAGAAAGGTAGATGTAGATCTATAAATACATGATTAGAAAGTAATAAAAATAATTTTTTTTTATTTAAATAAGAATTTAACTCTTAATATGACAAAATGGAGAAAAAAGTTTCATATAGTCAACCCCACATAGTGGGATAAAAAAGGCTTCTTGTTGGCAATTGTGATTTTGGAGTAACTATAGGCGTTGGGGGCAACGGTATGTTCAATGGGTGGAGGATTTTTATTGGTCATGTTCATCTGAAGTTAGAAGTGGCTTTGCATGGAAGTAAAAAAGAGCTTGTAGTAAGATTTATAGGAGCATGGATTTGTATGAAGGTTTCTCCAGTGTAGTTAGATCATGTAATATAATAGATTTGTGATAAAGTTTATGAAGAGTTTTGGGTGGGATTTATGTATCAGGTTTGATTTAGGTTTTGGTAAGCTAGACGTGGTCTGGAGCCAAGGAATTGATTCAATTGTTTTTTTGAATACTTACACCATAGTGCTTAGATCGTTAAACTTATACTTCTTACATCATAATGTATATATCATTAAATTTACACTTTAAAAATAAAAATAAAAAAAAGATATGGAGAGCATATGATCTAAATGAGAGTGCTTTAATTTCATCACATTATGCTTCCGAACATGGAAAGGTTTTTGCCCTGCTTTGAATGGAAGATGTAGTGTTGGGTTTAAACAAGCCTATGTTGAGCGAGCTTGTGTGTTTGTGTTCGGCCCAGCCAAAATTTCATTAGTCTAAAATTGATTCTGTTCAAAATTAATTGTGGGGCATCATGTACATGTTTGGCTTATTTGAATACAAGCTGACACTAATCGATTTTAAACAAATGATTCTATAAACATAATGGTTTAAACGATAGAATCATTCTACTTGTGTAATAACCAATTAATAAAGAAAAAATTTGACTATATGGCTCATAGTGTAGATGTAGTTGGAGAACTATGCTTGCTATTTGTTTTCATGGAGAAATTTATCCAAAGTTTGTTTCAGACTAAAATACTCTTGTTTATATCTCCTTTGCATAATAAGAATGATGTTCTATCCTTCCACCCTTTGATTTTCTCCATTACTTTTACCTTCTTTTGTTTGAGATTTTTTCAGCCAGCAAGGTAAGACTATCACGGTGATGAGTCTCAATTGATAAAATTAATTGAATAATGACTTCAACATATATGGATAAGATTTTTTTTTTTTTAATAGTTTCTATCGTGTGACATATGATCCAAATGAATTATGTCATTTTGATGGAGTTCTAATGTGAAGCTTGATAGAATATCAAAGATAAGATTTTGAATTGTTTGAATTATGATCAATCATGGCTTGAGCATATTCAAATCATATTTGATTACGGTTCAACTAAGATTAGAACACTCGTTCAAACAAAGATTGAGCATGGTTGGAATCTTACTCGATCACTTTTTTTGAACATGGTTCAAGCTGTGTTAGAACCATGTTTACTTATGTTTTGAATATGGTTCAAATAAATGTTTGAAATCATGACCCTTGAACTGTGAGTTGTATTTTGATGAATTATTTTCTGAAGGTGAATTGTGTATTAATGTTCTTGTACTGTATAAGGAATAGTATAAAGAGATAATAATGAAGTCGGTTGGGCATTTATATTAGAAATGGAGCAAATATTTGTTGGTGCAAAGAACTATTTCTCTTTAAGATCTCATAGCTCTCATATTTCTTATATACAAAATTATAGAGATTGAATAACAACCAATTCAATTTAAAATTGAAGGTGATATACCAATTTTAACAATATGATGGAGCATAGTCTACAATTTTAATTTCTCTAATTGAACTATTAACAAATTATGATTTTGCATATTCATATGTATTCAACACTGATCTTTCATGTGTCTATTGCTCTAAAAAGGATTTCAACTATATATTTTTGTGCAAATGATGATGATGCAAGGTCAATTTGTCTAACATCATTCATTGGTGTAAGAAATGATATGGACATGCCACATGAAAAAGTTGGTTATGTTGTGGACATGCACATTATAGATGATTGTGGTGCTTTAATTCTTTTTTGATCTACCTGAAACTTGTGAATGGGTGAGGTCATTTGATTCTTCATATGTTTTAGGGATAAAAATAATAATTCAAGATATGAAGATTATATGGATAGTTTTTATTGAAAAAGGGTGAATTCCAATAGTGGTTAATATAATGGCTTCATTCTCAAGTTTGACATGAAATCCTTTAAAAGTTGGGAAATATTTTTATAATAAATAAGAGTTAAAAGCTAATGTTGCACCTAAAAGAATTTTCAATTTAAGGTGATGAAATTAGTTAAAAATGTATGTTATATTTGTTACACCTTTGAGGAATGTTAATGAATGAGTGAACTATGTAGTTAGATCAAAAGATTATTGACTAGCTCAATTTTGGCTCATTGAACATACAATTGATGAAAAGTTTATCAGACTAATCTTGTAAACCAAAGATGATCATATCTAATGTGAAAAGGGGTTAAGATATTGTTTGATTCTATTAGTGGTGAGTAATTTATTCCTTGTGTAAGAGGGTTCTCAAAGTACCTTTTTAGAAGTTATCATCTTATCTAGTTATACTATAGAAAAAAAAAAAATATTGATCTTTAGCTTGACATTACAGGATGTTTCAAATATGTTTACTTCTTTTTGGATTTCTACATTTAAGGTTTAAGAAGTTTATGTTGCTAGGTGTAGGTGTGGATGCAATATTTTTGAATACAAGCTAAGGAGGTACTTTAGTCATGGTAGTGATACAAAATATTAATATGTAGATTTATTGAGTGACATTTGTAGTAGTTTAACTAAAAAATATGAATCATCATTGATTTATTTCATGACTAGATCGAGGGAGTTAATAAGCATGATGAAAAACTTGTTTGTTTGATATATCTAAAAATGTCATTGATATTTTATCAACCATATTGTTAGAGGCATATGATGGAGTTTGCACTTATCATGTTGTAATAAATATCACGGTGAAGTTCAAAATTGATTCTTATCATAAGAAATATCACTTGGCTTTCTAAGGTTTATAGAAGAGTTGAGTTCTATTGGCATTGTGACAAAATTCGTGTCAAGAATTGATCCAAGGCTATCTATTTAGAGAATGAAGTTGACTCCGAGCTACACGCTCATCCTTTCTTTATTGGAAATCAATGCAACGTGATGACAATTGATAATTTAGCATGCTTCAACAATGATATAAAAAGTGCACACTTTGATCTAATGACTATTTTGGTGTTATTTTTGAGGTATATAATGCATAAATGGTTATTTTATAGATGTGGAATTATAGCAAATGCAAAAATTATTTTGGCAAATGAAATTGAAAACATTGGTAAGTTCATTAATAAGGCTCCATATTGATTGTCTACCCAATTTGTTAATTCAAATTGAACATCATTGATGATGATCTTAACTTTGAGATTGATTTGTTGCAGACATGTACATGCAGAAGATATGTTGTTATGGGTTTTTCATGTTAGTATGTTGGTTGTAGGTCGGGGTCGAGGTATTTGCTATTATAGCTTACGTTTGAAGTTTTATACATAGAAAATATGATTAGCTGAATATGTGGAAAATACACATCCAATAAAAAATAAGGATATCTAAGAGGTTCATGATGAAATAAGTGGAATTGCCATGTTACCCCCAGATGTGAAGCCATGAGTGGTTATATAAAGAAAAAACATAAAAGCCATCATAGTGGGAAAATGATGCAGTGTTAATATAGGTGCATTTGGTGTAATATAGGGTGAATTGTCCATCACCTTCATAACCTTTTTTATTTTATTTTTCTTGTTTTTTTTTTGAAAAAGGTGCAAATTGCATTAAGAAGAAGAAATACTTACAAGCAATAAACGATTCACATTCCTTCTTTAACAAACTAGACAAGGAAGAAGGAATGTCACCAAAAACAAAACTATCAAAAAAGAAACTATTTTTCTAAAGCCAAAGTAGCTCATAAATCATCTACTTTGTTACATTCTCTAGAAACATGATGAAAAATCACCTTATTGAAATCATTTAGACAAATAACTTCTTTGTGGACCAATTGTCCAATTGCCACTTTGATTTATTCAAAGAATCTTAAATGAAATTTATAATGTTAAAATTATCACCTTCAATTATTACTCCTTTGCTATCTTTCATCCAACTTTGAATGAACTCCCTTATGGTGAAAACCGCTTCCAGCTCAAGTTGAGTCACATCCCAAAGAATTCTTTTCTTCCCAAAAGTAAGAAGTCTTCCTTTATGATCTCAAAACACACCTATGATGCCAACAAGATTAGATTCCAAA